TATAACACTGTCTCAAGGTTCCTCCTTGTAATTTAGCCAAGAACAAAGTTAACTCTATTTGGGTATTCATAGAAATACCAGAAAATCAAACAAGGAACACAAAAAACCACAACACTGTTTAGAACACTATTGAAACTCATGATGCAAAATGTGAAAGGCTTTTAAGCATGCACAGCTTAGTGCTAAAAATAAAATAAAAAATCTTAAAGCCATAGCAGGGGTTTGTGAGTGTGTGTGTGTGTGTGTGTGNTGTCCTACACTCCCTTTCCCCTTTTATTGTAAGCCGCCCTGAGTCCCTTCAGGGAAAAGGGCGGCCTATAAATGTGCAATAAATACTAAATAAATACTAAAAACCTAAGAGTTCTCCTGAGGTGAACATATTGGATGCTTCCAGAAGGTCTGTTAACTGCACCAGATGAAGTCGATGAAGGGCTGCCTGCTTACAGCATCTGCGAGTCCATTTAGCAATAGTTCTGAGTCCAGCTTGGTGCTTTACTTTGCAACATGTTAATTTCCATTTTGTTTTTAAAAATCTAAATCTAAAAAATGTGAAAGATGGAGAAGGCGAAAAGATCTCAAAATATCTTGTCACAACTTACTGGTGAACATCAGCTTGGGCTAATACTGTATTTCTTTAAAATGCCAACTGGGACTTGATGCTTATGAACAGAAGAGGACAAAATAGTCCAGGGGTGGGCAATGGGGTGGCACTATACCAATGCTACACTAAATTTTCATTTTATTAATCGTGTATGTTGATTCAGCCACTTCATTTACCACTTATAAATTAACCAATCACAATATGTAGGTTCATATTTGGTTTAGCATATTTGCAGATGAAGAAGGCAGGTGTCCTCCATCAAAAAAAACCCAAAATGTGAAAAAATTGAAGAACAGCAAGAGTGTTTATTTAACAGTAGATCATTATAACAGAAAATTTACCAACTTGCATATTTTTAAGAACTGTTTTAGCAAACCTTGCCTTATTTTTTATTAACTTCCCACACAATATTTGCAACAGTTAAGCACACATTCCACTGAACCCTGAAACATTGGAGCTGCATGTATCAACTGGATTTTTGCCAACAAGGAAGCTCTAATAATTGCATGTTGCTTGAGCAGGCAAACAAAAGCGCTCAGCCACACTGCCCCTTACGCAGAGTGATTCAGCCGGTATTTACCAGCCCATTGTGTGCAGTGGGGGTAAACTGAATTATTAGTTGATAGCTTAGTAAGTTCATCATTAATCAAAAGCTAGAGCAACTCCTTTATGAGAAAAGACAATACTCAGACTTTATAGCATTGCATTGAGGGCAAATAAAGAGACACCTGACGGAGGTACACAAAATTAAAAATAGTTTAGAAAGCGAGTAAATTTTTTTCTAGCATTGCTTCCAGACAAATCTTTACTGAATGACTTATACACTTTAAAAGGGGGGGGGGGAGGATACAGAAAATATTACAGGTAGTCCTTGACTTACGACCACAATTGTTCCAAAGTTTCTGTTAATAAGCAAGACAGTTAAGTGAATTTTACAGCCTTTCTTTCCACAATAGTTAAGTGGATCACTGCAGTTGTTAAATTAATAACATGGTTGTTAAGTGAATCTGGATTCCCCATTGACTTTGCTTGTCAGAAGGTCACAAAAGGGGATCATATGATTCTGGGACACTGCAACTGTCATAAATGTGAGTTCATCCATATATAAATCATGTGACCATGGGGATGCTGCAACACCATACTGTAAGCGTGATAAATGAGCAAAAGTCACTTTTTTCAGTGCTTATAACTTTGAATGTTCCTTAAATGAATGGTGGCATCAAGAACTATCTGTACTGCGCATTTACCGAATTATTTTATCATGTTAAGAGGTAACCCTTGGGGGTCCTCCATTGATACCAATACAATACAATACAATAGCAGAGTTGGAAAGGACCTTGGAGGTCTTCTAGTCCAACCCCCTGCCTAGGCAGGAAACCCTATACCATTTCAGACCAATGGCTATCCAACATCTTCTTAAAGACTTCCAGTGTTGGGGCATTCACAACTTCTGGAGGCAAGCTATTCCACTGATTAATTCTAACTGTCAGGAAATTTCTCCTCATTTTCTTAACAAATCCTTGCTTTCTGGTAATCACCATGCTGCTTTCAAGGAGCTTAGAATATTCTAA